TTATTTTTTAAACTAAAAATAATAATACATTCAAAGAGAGGAGATTGGAGAGGCTAAAACAACACCTAGATAATGGATGGCTGGTGCCTCTATAAATACATTTCTTATAAATGTTCAGGTCAGGTAACACCAGCCCTGCTGACCAGGCAGAAAAAGAAAGATCAGATAGGCCTAAGCAGTAACTTGTTGGGAGAGAAACAAACAGGGGATCGATGTAGTGCTGTTCCTCTGTTTTCTCACTTTACAGAAGGCCTAATGATTGTGTTCCTTGAACACAGAACAGTGTGAAGATCATAGGTTTATCAATATCATGCAATATTCATTTTCTTTTTCACGGAGTTATTTGTTTGTTCATGAGTGTCAATTTGTGTTTGAGTGTGTGAATACGTGTGTGTGTGTGTGTGTGTGTGTGTGTGTGTGTGTGTGTGAGAGAGAGAGAGAGAGAGAGAGAGAGAGAGAGTTATACATTTATTGTTTTGATAAAAATTGTGGGTCCAAGTTGTACTTTTTTCTAACCCGCCGAAAAGAAGGGAGGGAATGAAGCAGTCACTTCCTGTTGACGTTAGCAACGGCGATCGAAGTATCTACACTGTAGTAAGCCAAAGCTCGAACTCGAAAAGATGGTGGTCGTTGCCAGACCAAAATACTTCACACCCAACGAGGTGTCTGTGCACAACACGACAGATGACCTGTGGGTATCTTTTCTCGGGAAAGTGTACAACTTGACTCCATTGTGTGAAAAGTACAAAGGTTTGATATGGCTTGATTTTACTTGATCTGAAGTTGACGATAAGAATTAGTCTGGCTGATTAACCTCGCTGTTGTTCCGTTTCCCATCTTAATCAAGTTCATCTTCTTGTTTTGAGAACCTAGCTTAAAATGACAGGAAGAATCAAATTGTAGAGGATGGATCAGAGATTAGGTAGGGGCCCGGAAGGCAAAGATTAAAGACCAGCCTTTACTTCGAGAGGCTTTACCAACTTAACCGCTTACTGACACTGGTCTGTCGTGACTGGCTTGTAGCCCTAAATCAACTCGATTCTACACAACTCGGATAGCAGCTAAATATTCTACTTCTGCTGGATTGAGAGCCTCAGACTGCAGCTAGCAGTAGGCTATAATGATGTCTAAACCAAACTCATCCATCAGCATAAGATTATTTTCACAAACTGGTTAGATGTACTTCCTGTTTTACATTTAATTGGAAGAGCGTTCATCCAATGCTAGTCTTCAGGAAGCATTTTAAAGTTTTTGAATTGAAATTAAAGATCCAAGCTAGTAGATCTAGATCTAGATTTGACTTTCCAAATCAAAATTTTAGAAATTCAACGATAGCGGAGATCCTGATCAAAATATATTTTCAATCTAACTATTTCAATGTTTTTTATTTCTATGCAAATACAAATGCAGTCAGTGCGAAAAATGAGTGCAAATGTAATTTTGTAATGTTCGAAAAGATTAGTTTATTTTTTCTTAACAGCGCCTACTTTTTTATGCATTTAGGTGTTTATTTTTACTTACATAGATCTAGATCTAGTCTGAAAGTAGATGAGATTCTATGAATGATTTTTTCAAAACTACCAACTAAAAGTAAAATATAGTACACCATTGTCATGTACAGTGGAACTCGGATTCAACGAGGTCGCCGGCCTGACCTAAAATCTCGTTGAATCTGAGTTTTCGTTATAGCAAACACAATGTTTTGTGTAGATATAATAACAGGCAGTGAGCAAGTTATATATAAAGAGAAGTCACAAGTAGTGCCTGAAATGTCTGCATATTATGAGCTGTGTAAAAAAAAAGACCGATTTTCATTCAAATGCACGCCTGTGTCATCTCAATTGCTTACCAAAAAGTTGTGTTGCAGTGTAGAAGTAGAAGAGCCTAGCATACGGCAACTTTTGATTCCATAGACCTGCGCACAATTCATTATGTAGATCTACGTCAAGACTAGCTTATCATTGTAATAGTGATCAGTTGCCGAGGGAAAAAGAAAGACTGTGACACGTTTGTATCTGTGAGGTTTAACGCCCGAACCTATAGTGCCACCCCATCCCCTCCCCGACACGCGCACACAGTCACACATGGGCCCGCCGCCCATCCAACCCCGACACCCGCCAGAGTAGACACGTGTGTGTGCCAACAACACTTGTGTTGGTATGAAAAAAGGCCACTGATTGGTCGCTTGCAATGGGCTAAGTGAATAATGGTTCACGATGCAGGTGCAATGGATGGTTTCTGGGAATAGATAAAGTTCGTTCTGGGAGAAAAATGAGCGAAGCCACGTCTGCAGGGGCTGTTCACCCTGGAAGCGACCTCGTTGAATCCGAGCTCGCTGATTTAAGTGCTCGTTGAATCCTGGTTATTTTTATTGATTTTAAAGAATTAAAAAACGGGGAATCTATTTCATCTCGTTGAATCCGAGCTTGTTGAATCCGAGTTCCACTGTAGTATGTAGTGCAGCTTTCGACCTGAGGCAGATCAATTGGGAATTAAGTAGATGAGATTGATGTGTTTGTAAAATTGCTGTATGTGTCATGATGCCGTGGAATCAGGCGCTCACCAATTTTGGAGTCTATGGAGCTATTGATATAGTCTCAAAGCCTGTTCTTTTGTTTCGCTTTTGATGAAAAAATATCAATTTGTCTGGGATACAATTCAAGATATTTGCGATTGAAGGAGGTGGGGGTCACCCGGTTTCAGAGGTAATTTTAAATTAGCGAGAAAATGGCCACCAAAGTACCATTGAGTTATATCCTTAGCTTGAGAGTCCATCAAAACTGAAAATTTACATCTTTTATGCCTTAAATCAATGTTTTTCAGAAAAATCCACTCGAAATGGGTTCTTTATACGGAATGAAAGGTGTGGGGCGAAAAAACAAAAATTCAATAAGAATTCCAAAATCTGTGGAAAAATGCCAGTTTCTTGACTTTCATTATTTTGACGAGCGCTTGATTTCACCACGCTGCCTCACGTATATTTCAAATTAACAAAATGGATTTTGCAGGTGAAAAATATTTTTGACAGGCCAGAAGCCAGAAGTATTTTTAAGATTCCTGGGACCAGATTTTGAAGTAGGCCTTAAATGATTAATAGCAAAATATTTTTAATTTCTATCTTTCTCCCCAAATTTTTGTTCTCTTCATATGCTCTGGAAAAGTATTAAAATCCTCTAGGATCGGAACTTCATCATCCTCCTCATTGCCTTTCTCACCCTGGATCAGGGTAGAGGCCACGAACAAACGCTTAATTTCCACTTTTCCCTATACTGAACAAGCCTCTTGATGCTATTCCATATCTCTAGGGACATAGAGTAGGCTTATTTGAATCTTGCATTTGGGCTGACAAAATTAATAGTTTTAAATTTTGCATTCAGTGGTGCAAACTAAGTTAGGAATTAATAAAGTTTTATAGGTTTTCAAATTTGTTGGTGTCTGTTGATACTTCTGCAGATGTCTAGTTTACTCTTTTTAATTGCAGTCAGATGTGACATCATATCTTATCAAAACTGAATTGGAACTGTAGCCTTTATATGTGGCACATGTTCTGGCCCTAATTTTTGTGGGCAACACAAGTGCAGTGTTAATGTTAGCATCATCTTATCAAAATCTGAGTTGGAATTGTAGTATTCATGTACTGGAGGTAAAGAAATATTATGAACAGTACATATCAAATTCCGAAGATGTAGTTTATAGCCTTATTTTAAGAGCAACATTTTATTATTTTGAAACTAATCATGGTAAGTTGGATCAAACCTATCAAAGATTGTATTAATTTTGTCATAATTTTACTTTTCAGCAAATTCATGTCCATTTGTTCTCTAACAGGAGATGTGTTACTCAAACCAATAATACAGTCTGCTGGGAAAGATATTTCTCACTGGTTCAATCCAAAAACCAAAGATGTAAGTAAACACATTTGAGTTTCTCATGAGCACAACATCATTGTGAGGGTTTGTGGAGTTTCTTAGGTGGTGTGGCTAATTGCACATAAAAGAATTTCTTTTTGTTTTAATTGTAATGGATAGTAATAAGCATACTCATGGTCAAGGATGGAAAAGCTTGTTTAAGCAACCACAAAAGATGTGTTATTTCTTTTTCTTATTATAGATTTATTTAACAGGGAAGGGGAAAATGTATTTTAAAAATAATAATAAAAAAGTTTGAAAGTTTTTAAAATAGCAGATAATTATCACAATTGTTTTGTTTTTTTCATTTTTTCCCTGTCTTTTTGTCTTTTGAGGTGACAAGAATCACTTTTGTTCAAAGGTTGAAAGGTTTGAGGCAGTTTATGGTCCCTTAGACAAGGTGAAAAATTTTCTCTTCTTTTATAATGCTTTCCTCAGCATTAGGCTATATATACAGTGGGCCCGACTTATAACAGTCTTGGTTATAATCAGGATTTTCGCTATAGCAGGCAGATAAATCCTTGAGTCTATTTTTTTAAATCCATAGTGAGAAAGTTCTTTTATAGCTGGCATTCACCTCGGCTATAACAGCTGTCCAACCATCAAAAAAATCATAAAACAAAAGGACAAGAAACCACAGTAAGCGCCCTCACTCTGGATATTAGTTGATTATAAGTGAAGAAAAACAAGGCATGGATATGTAGACCCAGAGCAATCTGCTTAGAGCGCCTGAACAACTGAGTGATGGGGGAAAAAATCAGGATAATGTAGCTTTTTTTGAGAGCATCCGAGCAAAAGAAATGAATAGAGAACCATGATTGCTGAAGTGTCGCTGATCTGACACTTGATGAATGAATATAAGTATTATAAGTGAATATGATTTTTTTCTCCCTTGTTTCCCCAGATCCGAACCCATACTGACCCCCAGACCAACTGCATCATCCCTTACTGCCCCAATGGCAGGTTTGTCCACATTGCCCCTCCATACCCAGACTCAAACTGGGCCAACGACTTTGGCCGGCCATGGTGGAAAGATGAGGCTTACCTTGTTGGCATCTTGTCACAGAAAACTCGCCTCATCAAAATCATCAATACTTTGACCTCCCAGGATCAGGTCATAGAGGTAAATGAGTCACCAACATTCAGGACATCCATTTATTAATGTACCGTATAGTGATTTTTATTATAATTATTATAGTGACCACAGCTTCTTCAGTTTTGGATAAAAATTCTTTCGAAATATTTCAATGGTGGCTGGGTTTCACAGACTGCGTCATCTTTGGCTTTAAGTTTAGCTGCCGTTGTGATTCAAAAGTGTGCTATTGTAAGAACAGGGAATCTATGAGCTTTTCCCCCCGTCTTATTTGAGAAGACTTAGACCAGAGTGCTTGTCAACCATTTTATAGCCAACGCCCACTTTTGCCACCTGGTTTAAATAAGAGGCTGAAATGTGTGTACCACCTGCCTAAATGTATTTTCACCTGGGGCATTTAATAATACCTGTCACTATGCGGGTCATCTCCACCAGAATTGCCAAATGACAGGTTTGCAAACGCTGGACTACCCTTGATGTCATCTACCTCAAGATATCAGTGTCTGATGCTGCTGTGGTTAGGCCCTTCAGTTTTGCTCACAAAAGACATGGGGAAGCCTATCTTATCGAGTATCTCTCCCGTTCTGCTGGGATACTGTTTCCCTCTCAGTTCAAGGTTGACGCTCACAGGGAGAATGGAAGCAGTCCAATTTCTACCAACAACTGATCACAATTTTGTCAGTAGGGGCTTGAAACATTAATATAATACCAAATCCATCCTGGGGTAAAGGGTCATGGGAAAATGTTTTAAACAGTCTTACTGGATCGATAACAACAACATAACAACTGGATTGATGATAATAACAATAACAACAAAATTTATCTCTGACCATGCCTACAGGAACCAGAGATGAACAGGGCATTTTTACATGAAAGACAAATACTTTACCCTCATCCCACTGCGCCCCCCCCCCCCCTTTTCCCCACACCCACCCCCCAATCCTGTGGTCACAATCAGATCATAACCAAATATCTCCGTATGCCTCAGGTTTGTTCAGAAGAGGTGATGACAGAGATCCGAGAACGCTACCTCAAGTACAACGCACACGCTGCCAGCTACACCTGGAAGTACGATGGGAAAAATCTGGACATGGACAAGACGCTTCAAGAGAACGGCATCAATGATGAGGATGAGGAGTTCTACCAGCTGAGCATGAATGATGACACCTACCTACAGCCTATTCACCTGTACTTCAATGACGATTTAACTGAGGCATAAATATAATGCATTTGTTAGCCAAAAACTGAATGAATAACTGATAACACATGCAAATATATTCTGCGCTCTTTTTTTTTTTTATGTGAGAGTCTGCAATATATTCAGGCTTTTAATCAGTACTTAAGGTATTTGCCCAAGTGACATTGCTTACCTTGAGGAGGAGATTCATTTGGAGATGGTGATCTTTGTATTGGAGTAGTACTGATGTGTGTGTTTGTGCGAGTGTGTGCATGTGTATGTGTGTGCGCACAGAAGTGAGAGCTTGATATCGAAATGGAATGGCAGTTGAAAGAATGCAATTGAGAATGCCTGTACATAGATTCCTTGCTCTTGTTTGCAGCAAATGAAATGTTCCAATTCCTGCTCTGACAATACTGAGAACAAATGTTTTAATTTTTAACCTTAGCAAAAATCTAATAAAGTATTGGCCCATCAAAATTACTTTTCTTTAACATTGAGGAAGAGACGGTTGGTGGAAAACTTCAACAAAAATCTATCTTTTCTTTATTTGTAATCACACAGTATTGCTATTGATAATTGAGTAAATCTTCTAGTTTCAACTCCTTTTTGGCTACATACAAACAGTGCCCTCATCAGTAATTCAACAAAGTCATAGGACGTACTGATGAACCTGCTGGACGGAATCAGATGTTATTTATTTGTATTTCACACCTTTTTCCCTGAAGAAAGTATTCTTTTATTACTGTCACTGTCAGTCCCACAGAATTATTAGTACGTGATTGATTTTGGTAAATTCCCAGAAATTTGATAACTTCATCTTGAAATTCCAACATAACTTTGAGCAATGTTGTGCACTTCAACATGCAAAAGAAATAAAACTGTTTGAGATGCTGAATAACATTCTGTGGCAGAATTAATTTCTTTCATTATTGTTTATCATCATTGTTGGAGTCATTCTGTAAAGTAACCTTCAGTGTCTGTGCTCTACGAGTTGAAAAATACAGTGTTTTTCCTTCTAAAATCACATCACATCACCATCCCACCCCAACCCTTTAGTATGGTTAGAAAGCTTGGGGGGGGGTTCTACATCTGGACATTTAAAAGAGCCTTATTTTGTGAAACAAAGCAAATAAAAATAGTTGCCCCTCTTGAATCAAGTTCTCTCAGATCAATGATTCCATCATGATCGGTCAACCACATAAACAGCGGAGAAAGGGTTAGCAGAATGTTCTTAAATACAGGCATAGAAAAATACACGAATGTACTAGGTACCACAAACTGAAATTTCAAAGTCCTCTGATTTCATAGTTAACTGCACCATTTTATAGAATTTATCATTCTGAGCATTTTGATACCACGTTTATACATATAGCTTCATTTTTAACAAAGTTATGAACGTCTGAAGTTGCAGAAAAATGTTACAGTTTTTTAATTGCGAAATGTCTACACTTTGAGATGTCACAACATTCTTAAATTTGAATGGACATTCACAAAAACTTGTAGACACACACCAATGCACATAGAGAACAAGCTCAATTTTTTCAGGGCTATCATATAACCAGAAGATGGAAATTTATAGACGTAAACATGGCTTTTTGACCAAAACGGCAAGAAATACAAGGGGAGGTTAAAATCACCACTCGCGACCACCGGCTTATCGGCTGCGCGCCGGGCCGCGCTGAAGGGAAGGAGAGAGAATTTATACGAAACCGGGGCGATGGTGCCCTGCTTGCGAGCCGACGGGGAGCGTCCGGTGTTTATTTGCGTATACTATAATGGCTGTGTTATTTTTGAAGAGGAATGAATGGGCTTTCTGCCGATATATTTCCGTAGTCAGTCCGATCACTGGTTCCATAAAAAAACAGCACTGAAAGTTTTCACACGAAAATCTCTTCAATTAATTCTTTAAGGACAGTCTTTAGAAATATATCACCGGAAAGAGCGTCTTCTCATCTTGAAATATCAACGAATCAGATTGCAGTATTTAATACCATACGCTCCCCGTTCCTGTTCAACAGAGGTCACTCAAAAAATCAATACACAAAACGCGCTGCCGTGACAGTGAAAACCTCGATAGTGTCTTTTATCTCGCAAGAGTTTACTTTCATAAGAATCGTTGATTCAAATAAATAATACTACTAAAAAGAGGAAAAGCTCCTCTTTCTTCTGATATATCAAGTGTCTGTGAGTATGGATGTTCACACGGTGTTTTAGGAGGGTAAAAATATGGGTTTTGGTCTCCGTGACAGTGTGCCACGGGGGCGCACGGCCAGTTTGCGGTACCTAAATGTCCACACACAAAAAATAAAACTACTCAATGCTACCATATGAGAAAACTCATTTAATTTCTCCGGTCAGTCTACATTCAGAAATTTGCACAAATGCATAAATAAATGAAACAGCCAGTAGTAGCAGTATGTCAAAAGATAGGGGCGTATATCAAACAAACCTCTCATGAGACAACACACTAAAGTCCCACAACTCTTGATAACAAAAGGTTTAAAAAAAAAAGTCTACAACATCTGAGATGAAAATGGCATAATCTGCTAATAAAAAGACACCTGAGGATGCTGGTGATACAAATATTTCCCCTTGTCTTTACATTATCGTAATCAGAACAATACTTCCTCATCGATATTGATGAGATCTGATGAAAATCCTTCAGTCATGAGAGAAAAGTCTTCTAAACACCTGGTTGCTCAATTTAGAGAGGTGAAAAGGGACATCTTATTGTTAGTTCTCATCTCACAAACATGGACACAACTGCCCCTTTTAGGGTTCAGTTCCCAGAGTCAATAAAATAACTTCAAGCTTATTGTCAATCGAAAACATTAAAATCTTAGGTAACAAAATTGGGTCAAGATGAGAGAGCAGTGCGAAAAAGTCAAGGAAGAAGAGGTTCCATATCAAAGTCCCAAGTCAATGTTAGTAGCTCATACTTGTACCATGTCTTAGTGTTCAGGCACCCAACAGCTCTGGACATACATACCCTCGCATTCTCTTCATATACTAAAAAAAAAAAAAAATAACAAAACAAAACAAAACATGCACAAAGTCATCTTACAAAGATAGATATTTCAGGAGAAAAGAAAAAAAAGACTAATGAAAACAAAGAATGGCACATATATTTCCAGAGGGCAGAATCATCATTCCAGAGGGTTGAGTGGAATAAAGAGAGCTAATACTAGAATGACCACACTTCATCAAAAACAAATTAAGACAATAGTAACACTGGGAAACAATAAAAGAATTAGCAGAAGCACACTACATCACTGTGCCTAGCTACCAACTACTTTTTCACGACGAACCTGTGGAAGTTGAATTAGAAAGGAGGCTTTTTTACCTTGTAAAAGAGCCCAGAATTGTACATGTCAGTATAACCCTCCACAAAAACAGGTCCCAACCTTGCACTTTGAAGAGGATTTCGCATACAAGCACAGACGAAGAATAGAGGTATTGCCATTCTCAGTGAAGAGAAGCACATTGCCATTGACACAGTTAGCGGCCATTCTGTGCAAGGTTAAAAGAAAAAGAAAGGCTGGAACAACAGAGGGAATGAAAAGAAGTAGGACCTATATATGGTGCCCTCTTATCACTCACTGGGCAGGGCCAGAAGACATTAAAAAGGTCAAAAACAAAAATGGGGGGAGGAAGAGGGGCTTGGCGGGGGCCAAATGCAGCCTGATTATAAACACATTTGGAAAGTCTGCTTATCCCTTCAGAGAAGACAGAAAAGCAGAAGAGTGGGCAAGAAGCCCTCATTGGAAAGACAAAAGTTAAAAAAAGAAAAAGAAACAGTTATTGGAAACATCAAAAGCGCACTCATTCGTAATTTCTTCCGTCCACCCTATAAGTTCAACGCAACAATGTAAAATACACTGCCAGGCATCTATCACAATTATCAGAAAACAGCTAAACATTCAAGACGTCAAAACACTCAAAACTGAAAACTATCCACAGAATCAGCACAGCTGGGTGAAAGAAGTCTCCACAAAGCACAGGCACGATATATCTTTTCAAATTTCAAGTTGACAAAACATACGTAAAAAAAAAGATATCCCTGTTTAAACAGCAAAAGGGACTATTGGAACATATTCCTTAAGAATATCTCACACAGCTTGGCAAGTGAGAGAATACGAAATAATGAAATTCACCCAACACCCAGAGTGAGTTTTATTTGGCAAAGTACTTCAAATCAAGCGTAACATCAAGCCTATACACACACACACATGCACACCTAAGAATATTAATTCTACGGGAAAAGTGAGGCACTAGCCACTATCATTCTCTGTTTATTAACTTATATACCACTTCTTTTTTTCCAACACCAAAAGTAACTCACAACTGATTCTCCCAAGGGAAGGGGAACAAAACTACCTGCCCTCTCCTGAATCTAAGGCTACTAAGAGCCATGACTTATATTTTTCTACTTTTCGTTAACTTTGACAACCATAACACTATAAATATGTGCATCAAAAATAGAAGCAGCAATATCTCTAAACATGTTTTTCGCCTTTAAGTCAATGTTAATTCAAAAACGCTAGCAATGTTTTATCAGTGATAACAGTCAGACACCCCCGTCCCCCAACACAGACACACCCATACATGCACACACGCATACACAGCCAAACAGAGTTAACATTTGTTACACAGAAGAAAATTCTAGAACTGTCTCCATGGATCACTTCTCCTGGTTGAGAGCTCGGATAAACTCTTCCAGCTTGTCTTGAACCTGACGCACTTTTTCTGGAGAAAAAAAAACAAAACGTATGGGTTTGTTAAGTTTCAATTTGAGCTTTTCTTAGTTTTCGTAAGAGTTTTATGGCACTTGCAACACAAACTGACCATATAAGAGGCCAAAGATTAGAGGTGTAACTGGAGAGTAACATACAAAAAAGAAGGAGAGATAAGGATGTTAGATATATGACAATTAAGAAGGATCAAACCGTACCAGAGCGTTCACCAACCATCCACTTTAAGTTTCAGTAAAGAAAAGCACTTCGATATGATAACAGTGCAGGGACAAAGCAAAGAAGACAGAACAGAAAAAACAAAAAAAATAATTTTAAAAATAATAAAGCAAATAGGACTATTAGGAGTTACCAGTTGCTCTCGCCAACCCCACTCAAATACAAAATTAATTTCAGGAGAAAATGAAAACAACTTAAATTACTGTAAACACCACATGCAATTACATGATGCCCAATGAAGGACAAAAATTTGTTAAGAGCTCCAGCCCAAAACAGTTGACTCCGATCACTCTAGAGTCTGACCCAGTTTGACTTGAAATCAGTTCTGACTCCAAGAACATCTCTCTCCTTCTCAAACAAAAAAGTTTTGAAAGTCTCTGAAAGATTCATAATTTGCTCTCATTCTCATAGTAAAGTTTTGTCTATCATTAAAGTTAAAGTGACTTAAAAAAACAAGACTCAGGAGGAACAAAAACAAACAAAACAGAAACTCACTGAGTTCTTCAGCCAGAAGCACACGTCTGCCAGTAAGCAGCTGCTCCAACAACTTCTTGTCCTCCCCAATCTCATCTAGAACCTCCTTGATGATCCGCTCCAGTCTGCGAGCTAAGCACAACAACACAATGACAGAATAGAGAAATTCTGTGAGTCACAAAAGGCCCAATATAGAGAGCAAACAATGATTACAGGGTCAGTAAACAAAATGGTTTTACACGACGCAGTTTTAAAAAAAGGCGGACTTTATTGTTTGATCGAATTTGAGGGCCTCACAAAAGTTTCTCTTTATTTCTTTTGCTAAAATGGTAAAACATCGTCCAAACAAGATTTGATTCTGTAAGCACACAACATTTTTTTTAAAATGTTTACCAACTTAAAGGCCAAACAATCTACAAGACCTATGGGTGCTCTTTTTCCACAACAGAGGTAACTTTTACATTACGAATGGTTGTGAAGTTGTAGGCTCTGTAAAGCATGAATATGTGCTATATAAATGCAAATTAGTAGGATATTATTGCTGCTCTTGCATCTCAAGTTATGTCCAGTCAACCTCTATGGACAGGCAACGGGCAGTGCTGCAGGTCTGCCTCCTTATCCTTATCCGTACGCCCTGAGGTCATTTTATACCCCCAGGGTTGTATTCTTCACATTTTAGAATATTTCTAGTATGAAGATCTCTTTGAAAATTTCAGCATTTCTCAAAAAATCATTTTAACAGACTGCTATGCAAAGCATACGGATCGAATTAACGAGTAAATTTCCTCTTTGAAAGTGGTGGCACAGAGTTCCCCACGTCATATAGATACGACAGTAATTGGTAAAACACGACGTATGGATAGGGATAACCCTTTGAACCGTATCCACCAGTACACCAGTGGCCCGTGATTTACAAAAGATTTTCAGAAAAAAAGATTTAAAATGGTGATATGTGATAAAACTAAAAAAGAGTCGACTTACCCTCATTGTTGACCACCTGTTGTCGTAGCGCGTTGCTTGTCACATCCAACATCCTCTGCAGTCTCCAGAACAACACCACTGCATTGCAGTTCAACTGGGGGAGTGGGGGGGGGAGAAGATTAGATGGGGATAACATAAGATAATAAAATACAGCCGAAATTGTCCAGATGGCCATCCGTTGTTGAGGAGTAAAGTGGAAGTTTTGGACAGTGCTAGAAGTATTACAATCTTTTTTAAAAGTAAGGGGGAAGTGGGAAGTGTTCATTTGTACAGGTGATTGTCTGCGACACGCGTTTTTTAGAGCAGGTTCGACTGAATACATCATAGCGACCCTCCATCGGAGGAAACAAACAGATTGTAACAGCGTTAGTGTTATGCTGCTCTCAACACAATCTAGATGTGACGGCAAACAGCCTGTACTGAACCTGCTCGCCAAGGCCAACTCTGACAGAGTCGGATATAGCATCTCGGCAGACAGACAAGGATGATCTATGTGATAACATCCCAAAGCGAAAATCTAACTCCCAACTTTTGCATGCAATGGCAAAGAGCCTGTGTACTTCACCACAGATGCCAGTAAATTTAATCAGCAGACTTTTTCCTCTGCTTTAGACGAACAAACTACAAATGTATGGCATCACACCAACAGAAACCCGCCAATGAGAACACTTTACAGAAATCAGGCTGAAAATATATGATAAGATGGAAATATATGATCTATCCTAAACTGGACAAAAACACAGGTAAACAAGAAAACTAGCACACACAAAGGCAATGACAATCCTTTTTCCTCTCACAGGAAGAAATTTGCCTTGGTCGATTATTGTGCATGCGGACCACCTGTAAAATAAAACAGGAAGTCCTCTCAGAGTAAGAAAGAAGTATGAAAACAAACGCAAAACGTAAAACACACACATTCAACACAAGCAAATCCACACAAACACACAAACTCACAATTCTTTTCTTCTATGAAAGAGCTAAGAACTACAGAATGAAAGAAAAGTAAGACCAAAGAGTGGTAGTATCCCTTACTAAGAAATGTTGGCCCATCCCTCAGCAGGCAGACCCAAACCTCTACAAGAGCCTGGGGGACCTACAGTGAACAGCAACCTATACACTAGAGACTGGGGTGTCCACTTATAAACACACTAGAGATAGGTGTCTCCACTCATAGACATTCTAGAGACTGGTGTCTCCACTTACAGACACACTAGAGACTGGGGTCTCCACTTACAGACACACTAGAGACTGGGGTCTCCACTTATAGACACACTAGAGACTGGGGTCTCCACTTACAGACACACTAGAGACTGGGGTCTCCTCTTACAGACACACTAGAGACTGGGGTCTCCACTTACAGACACACTAGAGACTGGGGTCTCCACTTACAGACACACTAGAGACTGGGGTGTCTTCTTATAGACACACTAGAGACTGGGGTGTCTTCTTATAGACACACTAGAGACTGGGGTGTCTTCTTATAGACACACTAGAGACTGGGGTCTCCACTTCTAGACACACTAGAGACTGGGGTCTCCACTTATAAACAAAAGAGAAGAAAGAAGAAAAAAAAGTGGGTGTCACTCTACAACTATCCATATAATTTGGGAATTGCTGAGGGCACAACAGATAAAAAAGATAATGAGTAAGTACCCCTTGTTCCTGAAAGCCTTTCTGGTAGTAGTAGAAGCCCTTGCGGCAGTCCGACGCCTGCTGCACCGCTCGCTTGTAGAAGTGTCTACGGTACACGTTGTACCACGTCTCTCGGATCTGCCACACAAGTTGAAACACAAGGACAGCCATTAGTGCATAGTTATTCATTTGAGTTTTAGTGAGAGTAAAAGAGAAACACATCTATGTGATCACTGTAATTCTGTGCAAGGGGAAAAGCGAGACATACAGACAGACAGAAACAATAGAAGGACAGAGCCCTTCATACAGCCATTTACTGATTTGAGTTAAAACATGTTCTTTTTTCATAAAGACAAGAAATAAGTACTTACCACAAACTAGATGGCAAATAAGTACTTACCACAAACTAGATGGCAAATGTCAGTGACAAGAAAAAATATTTACATGAAAAGTAAGCAAAAGCATATATTATACAACAGTAACAACAATAATAATAATAAAATATAATTGTAATAATGATATAATATAATAATAATATCAATAATATTAACCCTCGTCCTGCAGGGGCCGGGTTTATGTCGCCCGATAACCTATTTCAGCACCTCGCCTACGTTCTGGTCCCGAATCAGTGTAGCCCCCAACTCGGCGCACCGCATCATCTTACGTGAAATTCGGGTCCCGAGTTGGCTCACGCAGGTCAAGGGTGTGTGCGTCAGTCTGCTTGAGTTTGTGTGCGTTTGTGGCCTTATTCTAGAACCGCCTGCGTTGGTTCATAATTGAGGCATACGTCTCATTCAAAACCCGCCAAGTTGGTAGCTCTAGATGTTCGTCCAATGAAATTATAAAAGAAATTGACCAACTTAGACATGAGGAGCTTGAAGGGATAGTCAGGAAACAAGACTTCCATTTTTCTCTACAAAATCTTTCAAATGAGCTTGATTTTGTATGAAATGATTTTACCTGATAAAAACTAAACTTGTTTGATAGTTTTGAATACCATTGTGCAGGTACAAAGAACAATTTGGGTGCAAAACATTCGGAAATTGACCTATATTATCCCCTTTCGAACCTCAGGTCATTAATAACAACAAGAGCGTCCAGAAAGGTTATTCAAATGAGCGTAACTACTCGTAATGTCTTATCAGTGTTTGTAACACTTTATAAATAGAAAGCTATGAAAGATAGAGCGTTATTTTCATCATCGATTAACACACTCCCACAGTATTCATGGCGAAAACACACGTTTACCGGCGCGTGCGCTGTACACCAACAGTACACACTGAGTGACCCCGGCGGCCTGCCCGGCACGCCCGACGTAATTGATTGCTGATAAGATTCGCATCTCAGCACAGACGCAGGACAAAAGTTAATAATAATAATAATAATAATAATAATAATGACAATCACAATCATAACCATAATAAAAATAACATCACTACAAAAAGATAAAAAGTTGAAAATAATAAATGACAGTATTACATTTACAAATCACCCTTTTACAACAAATTTAAATCAACCAGGAGCAGAAGAAGACAAAAGTAATAAAGAAGAAATAAAGTAAATAGAGCAGACAATGCCTGCCGCAAGACCCATAAACCAGGAGCCCCATTCGTAGAAAACAGAAGAAATTCTCTCACCATCTCCCCATCCACATCCACGTTCTGGTTGAGTAAGTTCCTCCTGACCGTCGTGAGTTCATCAGCTGCCAGGTGGGCTTTGTGATCCTTTAGACAAAACATGCTTGTTTTAATAAGGATTTGCGGCCCTCGCAACTGCATAAGGCATTACGATTTGGACAAAAGAGTAGAAAAGTAGGAAGCTACAGATTACAAAACGATAATAATAATGAAAATATTAACGATAATAAATAATAATTATTATTATTATAACAATCCATCAATGTCCGACAATGACCAATACATCCAAATAGGAGAATATTTCTCTAGTGAAATAGAAGAATTTGAAGAATTTACAGATTAAGATGACTTGTGGCTTCTGGCTTCTGCTGTGGCCAATGAGACCAATTCAGGCAGAGAAAAGTTTGCCACATTTTGAACATTCAAAAGCTCCAGAGATGCACAGCAAAACAACCAGATTTTTTTTGTTTTAACAATTTTTTTTTTTACGAATTCTGCAAAAACCCTGAGGACATTGAAACCTTGAAGACAATATGCAAATTTTTCTCACTTCACCCAGGTGAACAAAGGTACCTGGCTAAAGAAAATTTTAAAAGTCTGTCAGTTAGCAACTTGCACTGAACACTTTCCAGGAAGCTGAGAATGTTTTCAACATGCGATAGGGTCTGGTGAGATAAAAGAAAGAGCCTACTTTCTAGTATAGATATGCACTACGCCAATTTTATCTAACAGTATAATCGTCATCAGACCAACAAGAAATCAATTTCACAAACATCTTACCGGCTCGGCAGAGAGCATTTTCTCCAGCTCTGTCTTCACAGCCACACAGCGGACATGATCCTCCGAGCGCCTGGCCCAGTTGGTCCACTGTTTGACCAGGCCCGGACCTGTCAATGTGTCCAGCTCCCGCTCAGCTGATGGGAAACAGAAACAAAAAAACCCATGATCAGTGAGTGCAGTTGAGAAGCAATTTCACAAGGCATCAGTACTTGAGTACAGTAACCAAGGGGGGGGGGGTTGAGGGTGAGGACAAAACAGGGCTCAAATTAAGATGTTTCAAAACTCTCAAGACTAAATAAAAAGGGACGAGTTTAGACCAATGTGAAGGTCAGGCATATCAAAGCATCTTCACTCAGAGCTGATCTTCCTGTAGTTACCGAGGTGATTTAAAAACAAAGGGCGCATATTCTGAATAACTCACTATGTCCTCCCATCCCTCACCCCCCCCCAAAAAAATACACACAAACTAACAAATTGTCTACTTATTTGTTGCAGCCAAGGATAAATATTCATGTATAAGTACATCAACACACACACCTAAATTCACAGACTATTCTTTTGTTCTTTGAGTCTGAATAGAGAGATGCAAAACGACAAAATAATGATCTTTTAGGGTACTGAATATGTAAGACACAGAGAGAAACAATTGACAAAAAAGAAACAGTGGCAACCTCAAACCACCCAATTCGATTTGTTAGATTTGATTTGACTAGGAAAATAGTTTACGGCACTATCGAAACAATATTGGTCCCAATTGTCCGTTAAAGTTAAAGGCAACCACATGTACATCAAAATAATCAGATAGGTAGTCGTGTCGTACCTTGCTCCAGCTTCTCCCTCATGGTCTGCTCCATAAACTTGACAGCCTTGTCCCAGTGCTCCTTGTCACTCACAGAGCGATCCTCCAAAGTGTTCAGCTGGATCACGCGCTGAACAAGACAGACAGGCAGGCAAACACATAAGTCAGCAATAAAAAGATTGCAAATGTTTTACCCCCCCCCCCCCCCCTCCCCCACAAATTGTCAGATTCTAAATCAATAAAGAGGCAGGCTGCTTCAACACTGACCATTTTAGGTCCAATCTGAGCTGCATGGTGAAAACTAAATGCTTTAATTTTAAGTTTTATAAGACTGTTTCGGCACTTGCAACACAAATAGATCATATAAGTGCCAAAGATTAAAGGTGTTACACGAGAGTAACAAACACAAAAAAGAAGGAAGAGAGATACGGACAATGAATGTCTGATTGGCAAGAAGAAGCAAACCACACCAGAGCACCCACCAACCACCATACTCCACCAAACAAAGACAGAAACAAGAGACTGAGAAAAAGGAAAAAGAACTCCACCAAACAAAGACAGAAACAAGAGACTAAGAAAAGAAGAAAAGAAACTCCTGCCAACAAAGACAAAAACACTTGATAAAACACCTGTCCCAAACAGGAACCGAACTCCTGTCCTTTACCAGGTACGCTAAAGACTCACCAGACTGTCCTCGGCCTTGGTCTCCCAGGCGTGTTTGTCCTTGGCCATCTGTATGACAGCCGCCTTCAGGGAGTCGAAGACCTCATCATACTCTTTGCTCTTCTTGCACTGCTCCAGGAGGGCGGAGAACTGCTCGTGGAGGGTGTCCCAGCCAATCTGTCGATGACAACCGGTTAATTAAATAAATGAAAGAAATGAATGAGTTCCACTTTATTGTTGAAACCAGTTTCAAAATGTAAAAACAAATGAATTAATTCTACTTACTGTTTACAACTGGTGAAGAAATTTTAAACAAATGAATTAATTCTACTTTATTGTTTACAATCAGTGACGAAATTTAAAAGCAAATTAATTAATTCTACATTATTGATCCTCGTGGAAAAATTTGGTTTACAATGGCATATCACATATTAAACGTGTATAAATGCAAGAACACATGAGCCCCATGCTAATCTATGCCTGTTTGCAACTTGCCATATAACACTTCACAGGAAGAGTCTCCGCTTCACTACTTAGCAAAGAGGCCTATGATGCTATCAAAATGGCTCTGAGAAATAACTTCTAAGCTTCAAGGCCTCAACTTTTGTACTCCTTTCAACATTGATTAGGTCACCTAGGTTGAACCATGTGGTAGAATCAATGAACAACACAAAATGCTTCTTTTAGAATAGCCCTCAAAACAAACTTATATTGTTACTAATAATCTTCATTGTTGCCAATCACTCCCCCCATCCTACTTCCCTCCCCCCCCCCTCCTCCCCTCACTCCCTTCCCCTAAACACTACTAGATTTTTGTTTTTAAACCTTGGAAAAGCTACTACATTGATTGACAACTGAGTCTTGCCCTACCTCAACACACTTCTTTGGAAGTTGCTTGTCCGCCCACTGTCTCAGCTTGATGTCCACAGCTGTGTTGAAAGTTCTGCAGAAGGCATCACAATTACTTTGAAAAAATTGCTGAGCTTAGTCGATTGCAGAGGTTCCAAGAAACCAATTTATTGTTGTTACTGTGAGTTTCCTTTATACAAGATTGCCAATGATGTACAAAGGCGTACATAATAAACTTTGACCCAACAGGAATCTCTTCTGAGCTGCAATAACAGTCAGTTATGACAAACCTTTAAAAGTTTAGCAATTCTCATGCGCTGACACTACAAGCCAGACTTATGCAGAAAGAGATTATCTGGAAGATTTCCAACTTCTTGGCTTGTAACTTACACCTCTATAAAGAAGTTCTTGGCTTACCTCTATAAAGAAGTTCTTGGCTTATAACTTACACCTCTATAAAGAAGTTCTTGGCTTGAAACTTACACCTCTATAAAGAAGTTCTTGGCCTGTAACTTACACCTCTATAAAGAAGTTCTTGGCTTGAAACTTACACTTCTATAAATAAGTTCTTGGCTTGAAACTTACACCTCTATAAAGAATTCAAATAATTTAACAATAGCTTACTGCTAATTATAGTTATTTGTAAAGGCTCAGAATGTCAACACTATAACACAAACATACCCAATGTCCTTGGACTGTGCGGCCGGCAAGTAGACGTTTTCAATAATGAAGGAGGCAGTTTTCTCCCATAACTTTTTGTGGAAGGCCTCCTCCCTATGGAAGCAGACACGAATTAAATCATGACACAGCTTGAAATGTTTTACATCTGATCAACAACACAAATTGGATCAATCACAAGTGGGCCATTTTGACCCCCACATCCCGGCAAAAAAAACCCCGCCAGATTTGAACTAACGTCTTCTGAATGTAATAGAAAAAACCTCAATAATTACACCACAGATTGCTGGTCAGTTTGAAGGTACATGAACCATATTTGTTTAGATTTAGGATAGTTTCTTTCTTTTCTCAGTTCACACTTCTATAAACACAGTTCATAATATTATACTTTAAAAAAACAATCATCTTCATCACCATCATCATATAGAGCCGGATCTGAAAGAACAGCAATGACCATGGCTCCCCCCCCCCAAAAAAACAAGCAAGCCAACATTAGGGTCGCATAAACATCGGAAAGCAGTTCAACTGTTCTAAGCCAAGGAAACAACATTTTCAGTAGAGCAAAGGAAACTGTTTAAATTCTTTTACAAATTTGACCCATGCAAAGTATCGTTTCTCGCTTGTTTCAACATGAATTGCAACCAAATATTTCAGGAGTATATGCAACCAACAGAACATACAAATAAACTGAAATTTTTAAAAATGTCCAAATTTGGGGCTTAAAACCTCAAAGCAGCCAACCGATAATAAATTTAAAATGTAACAAATAGCCAAAAAATTAGCATCACAGGAAGGTGAACAAGCATGAGAACAAAGCTAATCAAAACCCAAACTACTCTACCTGCCACGTGTCCTAAAGACAAAGCAAGATGAGGATTACTTCTTTCCAATCAGCGTCCATCATAACGCCCATTCATGTCAAAAAAGCTTTGAAAATTATTTTAAAAAGAGAAGCATTTCAACGATTTATCTATGCTTTCAACCTTGATCCTAGAAACTCAAGACAAAGAAACTTTACTTTACTTTACTGACATGTATTTTAAAAACTGTTCTCGTCCCATAAAAGCAAAAACTTCCCACAACAATTCAAATCTTCTTTTCCAGTGAACATTCTTCTATCAACAAAAGTTGACCCACTATGAAATTTGCCTTTGTTCAGCAATCAGCCTACATCTATCCAGATACAGTGAGCCTACCAGTGACTTCATAAACATGAGCAAGAAAAACCGTCATTGAGACACTGGACAACTCACCATTCCTTCGTAGTCACTTGACTCAGATTGATGACTTCATCTAAGATTTCTCCTCTACACTTCTCAAACAGCTCATCCTGAGACAATGAGAGAGAAAAAAAAAAAAGTCTGTAAGTTTCTGAAATGAGAAGGCTGACTAATAGGATCTAATAATAACAAAAATTTTTCCTTATCTTACTAACAAGAGAAATACTGACTGCAGAGACAAAAACACACTTCTCATAGAGATGCATTAAGCACTTTGAGTCTGAGGAAAAAGAAGCACATAGACACAATAATGGGCAATAGCACTGGGAAAAAAGCAAGACAGACACGTTTGTTTGTTTGAGTAAAGAGAAGCATACCAACACAATAACGGTCATTTAGTGCTGGAAAAAGGTCAGACAGACAGATGGAAACAACAGTGGGAAAGTAAAGAAATACAAGTGGCGCCCTCCAACCAAAAGCTACCATTGTCTTTCTGACGTGAAAGGAGTAAGAGGAGGAAAGTAGACAGCAGAAACTTGCAGCAGAGAACATGAAGAAAGTCCAAACAGTTGTCAGCAAAACAAAACAAAATAACCTCAAAAAATAGAAAGTAAAAATAACACCCCCCCCCCCAAGGCAGTGGTATTAAATAAACGTCTGCTATAGAAGAGAACTCACCCTATCCAGTTCTCTCAGTCTAGGGTAGGTGTTCTTCCACTCCGTCTCCAAGTTGAATCTTGTGGCTGAAGAAAAAGACATGAGATGACAAAATCACTCACAGTATGAACCTCACACCTTCAAATCAAATTCAAGATGGGTTGTGCATTAAAATAAACTTCATTTTAATCGAAAGAGGGGTGATGCATCAGGCAGGTTAACAATCTTTGAAAAAAAATACTTCTTGATATGAATTCCCTTCCTTTTGTGCAAGATTAAAAATATGGTACAACAACAAGTTGACAATGATAAAGTACAGAAACAAGAGGTCTGTGGACAGCACCCCAGCAGAAAGGCAGTTGTGCCCTTAGATAGTGAGACAGTGGGATGAATGGATGGATGGATGGATGGGAGGGTGGGTGGATGGATGCACAGTCGGACAGACAAACGGGTGGACGAATAGATGGACAGAAAAGTGCAGGAGATGATTTATGCCATATTGTGGATGTTTTGAAGGTGCAATGATGTTAACAGTGCATTGTGTTCGGACTTAAAAATCACAATTTTAATTCCCTAGCCCACTCGGAGAACCAGCAATGTTCAGGGTCTGAACCCCTACCTTTGAAAGCGTCAGCTTGCTGTTCCACAGTCTCCTTGACCATCTTCCAGAAGGTCTCAGACACGGCCATGCTCAGGTTCTGTGTGGTCATCTGTGTGGGTTTCAGCACTCCATCCCTTGATGAGAACACAATTACAACAGGCTTTACTGAAGTCCTATTGTTTTGGCGAGTCTAAAAACTAAAGTTGAGTCACACCCACAATTCTTAGCGATTCATTAGCAGTTATTGTCACAATTGCACACAAATCAGCAGCGATCAAATCAAATAAATTTCTTCATGTCGACCTGCAGCCAGTCAGCAAGGTACCAGTACATTACATCATCAACAAACACAATGGGACAAGTTTAGTTTAGTTCAGTTTTAGTAAGAGTTTTACAGCACTTGCATCACAAATAGACCATATAAGTACCATAGATTATTAGAGATGCAACTACTAGAGAGTAACTTAAAGAAAAGTAGGAAAAATGTGGACGATAAGATGTTTGATCACGAAAAAGGGAGCTACCGACACAAGATTAACAACCCACACAATTGGACAAATAATACAACAACAACTGCGAAGAGGTAGAGGGAGCAGACCATCCTAGAAAAGCCACTAGCCACCCACTTAAAGCAGAACAACTCGCCATGGACTTCAAAAAGTTACATGTGAATGTGAGTTGAAACTGACAAAAAAATATTCTACATTTAATAGTTTTACTGGGCTAAGAAATGACATTATAACTGAAAATGATGAGAAAAATCTACAACAAAACAACCAGTATAAATGGCATAACAAAATAAGCACTTTTCATGTAAGTACCTCAGATTTTGAACGAAACACTTACTTGAACAGCCGAGAATTCCTGAAGAAGTTTTCTTCATACTGCTTGATAACCCCAATGCTATCATTGCTGTTGCCTAAGAAGAAATTTTATTCGTAATTAGAATTTGAACCTTTAGCTTATTGGACTTTAATTAAAAGGTAAACAGTTGAAGTGATATATGACATAGTATTTGAGTGGGTAATCCCACATGGCAGATTAAGTTTCACAGTCCTAGTTCTCTACTGCAATGATAACTAAACAATCTCTTTTGAGTAAAGAAACGAGCAATAATTCAACAGAAGCCGTAAAATACTACAATGATTTCAATAGCCAACAAGAATTCAAATACAATTTTACAGCAGGCAGAAGAGAAAAAGCAAGGTGGAGAAGAGAGGAGGAGGAGGGAGAAAGACATCCAAGTTTATTATGAAGCAGAAAAATCAACTCTGTAATAAAGAAACAAAGTTTTTCTGTGTTTACATAAGCTTCTGTAAAGACAGGAGAGCCCTACGAAGGTAAGCAAACAGTGTGAGCCATTACCAACACAACTGCCAAAACCAGCGTACCTTTCCCTGTGACAACAGCAAAATAGCCGAGAGCTTTCATGGGAAACAGACGACCATCCAAGATACTCTTGATCTGAAACGACATGATTCCAAGCAACCTTAGATAGGAAAAATAGCAATCAAACAGCAAATCAAAAATAAAAGTGATTTAACTAATAATACAATTCCATGGTACTGAAGCCTTCACTTTTTTTTCATTGAGCACTGTTTTCTATGAATTCTACACTTGCTGCTTCATCACAGAGGAAGCAGTGTATCAACACCGATCTCAAAAAGGTAAGACAGATATGAAATTTCCTAATAAGTGAATCTGAAAAGATGTGTCAGCAAAACAACTCACAACTTTTTTTGTACAAATAACTGCTTAATTCAACAACTTTCCTAAACTGCCAGCAAGAAGCTGACGTGTTGAACACTCACTCTCTCTGGATCATAGAGGGCAGACTCTGCCATGTCCACCTTGGTGAGCACGAAAATCGTCCGCTTTCCATTTGGATCCATGGAGCTAACCAGATCAGTTACGTTGCTTCGCTCCGCATCCAGAGAGCCATCTGTTCCAGACAAGGGGGAAAAAAAAATACCACGGTTCACATAACTTACCCACAATGCCTTTCGGCCACTCTATATTTTTTCATTTAAATTCTTAAGACTCCTGTACTGACCCTGCTTATGACTACATTTTTGCTCAACATTTATCCTAGTGACATATCTCCTTATGATTATTGATTATGCCTATACAGTCGAATTTGTACATAACGGTCGCTCAAGATCAAAGAAAAGACTGATTGCTACAAGGGTACACCTGTGTACACCTATACACTTTGTATAGAGGTGGACGTCTTAAATAGGGTCATTATAAAGTTTTAAAATATGTAAAGGAGAAAATAGGAAGTGGTCATTTGTACTGGTGATCGTCATCTACAGGTGGTTGTTAGAGCAAGTTTCATTGTATTTTTAAACCAGCCCAAAGCTGCCCCTGTTCAGTGTGGCCAAAGTCAGTCATTTTCACAACCAATAAGTCAGCCTCAAAACCTGCTCATGGCAGTCAATTGCTACCAGAGTTTTCAGCCAACCCTTGCTCAGACGGACAGAGTGTGTATCTTTCATCAGTGCAAAAAGTTCTTATGATAGATAATTACTTTGATGGAAATAAATGGACAAAGATAAAAATGAAAAATGAAAAGATAAAAAATAAAGATTTCAGATTTTAAACCATCTGTTGACAATGCTCAATCTTATAAAAACTCAGACCCTGTCCACAGTGGCCTCCTATCTATAGCAATCGGTCTTTTCTTTGATCTTGAGCGACCGTTATGTACAAATTCGACTGTATAGGCATAATCAATAATCAATTGTATCTTCATGCTACCCACACACTGAGCACACAAAATGAGAGTTCAATATATCATCATGACAAACTCAACCCGATTATACAAAATGACAGTTCACCATATCTGCATTCAATCTGAATGCACATAAAGATTACTGACTAATGTAGTGTGCCTGTTAGGTGCTTCAGCATCACACGCAGAAGGCAAGAGTTCAATTCTCATGTAAAACCAGCATTCCTCCCCAATGATCTAAATTGTAAAACACCTGCAACTACTATATTTTGACAGAATGACAGAGTTCACTTTATCTGTTTGCTCACATAATTTGCTTGCAACAAACACTCACCCTGAATACACAGAATGATCGAGTTGGGGTTCTCCATGTACTGACGGCACATCTGACGAATGCACTCCTTGGTGTCGGACGCCATTTCCGTGGTGACAGTCTGAGGACGTATCATACCAACAGTCACTTGGTTTTAGTTTGGTAAGAGTTTTACACTTATGGGCCTATCCGGAGTACGATGACCTTGTTGCCCAGTACAAGTAAGACTAGTAAGTAAGAGTTTTACGGTGCACACAACTTAATAAGGTAATACACACAAGACATGGCTGTTTTCCCATTAGCTCAAATTGCAAAGAGAATCACTCAAAAACAATGTCGGTCTACAGCTACTTTTTGTCAGGTAAGAATATAAAAGAACAAAGAAGTAACAAACGTTGTTCCTCATCTACATTCAGCATGCAGATTACAAGCCACACTCTAGAAGAAAAAAATAACACAAAAGTTGTCCCCCATTTACATACAGTCTGCAGATTACTGGAGACATTTTCTCTAGGGCACGAGCAATAAAAGTAACAATTTAAAAAATGGTAGATGCAGACCACATTAGAGCACTCATCAACCATGGGGATGTACTGTAAGGAAAAAAAGTGAGAGAAGCTTACAGAAATGATTCCAGGCAAATCCACCAACACCATCCGCTGGAGGCCAGGGCCCTTCACAGTCATGGAGATGCACTGCAGAGGGAAAGAGATAAGTATTAGAAACAGTTTTACGGCACTGGCATCACAATTAGGTCATATAAGCGCCGAAGATTAGAGATCCTAAAAGAGGGCACAAAACATAAAATAAGGAGGAGAGATAAGGATGACAGATGTTTGATAAGAAAGGAGAAGCAAACCACACCAGAAAACCCACCAACGACCCACGCGGAAAGAGAAAGTTGTCTGTGTGAGATACAGGTTGCGAGGAGCTGAGCTACAAACTACACATCCCATCATTATGGAGATTTCATTTTCTAAAAGTACAGCTGAACCAGCTCTAACAGGCACCTGTCTAAGGCAACCACCTATACCAATGGCCACTCCCATCTACCCCCTTGCATTCTTCTACATCATAATGAAACTGTTCAAGACATCCTAACTGTTTAAGACGATCACTTTTCTCATCGACAATGGGTGGCCGTCTTGGGGCAATTTTGACAATAAAGGTATATCTACAGCAAACTTGAAGATCACAGTAAATGTATATCTATCAACAGCAAACTTTTAAGTTCTGTGAAACAGCCGAGAACCAAAAATAAGACCCTGCTCACCTTGTTACTAACTGTCTGACCAGCCTGGACGCTGCTCTTCATGCGTAATTCCACCTCTCTCCTCAACGCAGCCAGCTGGGTTCCGGAAAAACAGCACAAACGACAAAGATATGTCAGTTAAACACAACATCACTGTGATCACTAATTTGGGTACACTACAACAACAAATCCAAACATCTACAAGACAAGAGAATTACAGCTCTGTTTCCAGAAAAATGAGCAGCTGCAACGATCCAAATGTCGAGGTATCAACAACATAAGCTACAAACACTCAAAAACCTTCAGGTCTTTCTCCTTAAACAGGGTACTCATTGTGGATAGGATCAGGTCGGGACGGGGGGGGGGGGGGGGCGCGATCGCCCCACTCGTCGCCTGAAAACAAACGCATTTGTTTTTGAGGCGACGAGTCGGGTACGATCCGCTTGCGCCACGATAGCTGCTTTGCGCTCTCAATATGGCGAGCAAACCGCCCCGAACAGATCTAATCCCCCAATGGGCACCCGGTATTATCTGAGAAGACAAAGTTCTCAATCTTAACTACCCTTGGTCATACACATGAAAAAAGAAAAAAAAAGTCTCCCCGAAAATTCTTTTTTTAAATTAAAGAATTAAACAAGGCATTTTCCTGTAAGAGCCAAACATTTCTCTTGTCTTTGACTAATGAATTGCACTGGGTTTTTTTCCATTTGCCAATGACTACCTCAAGGTTTAAAAAAATAAATAAATAAAATCACATCATGCCCGTATGTTTCATTACTCACATCAGACTCCTTAGTCAGGTCAAACTCGCGGGCACTGTCTCGAAACTGGGCCACGTGGTAGGGGCCCTCCGACAGAGTCACCTTCACCGGGGACCGCGTCATCATCTGACCTGAGCCCCTGAAGCAAAGAAGCACAAATATGAGAGAACTGGAGACACTGACAAATAAAGACGGGGACACTTTCAACAGAAATAAAACATAGATGACTCTTTCTCTCAGTCTCCTGTTTTTAAAAAAATGATACTCTCTCTCTCTCTCTCTCTCTCTCTCTCTCTCTCTCTCTCTCTCTCTCTCTCTCTCTCTCTCTCTCTCTCTCTCTCTATCTACCTTCCTTCCTCCCCCCAACTCTCTCCCTCTCCCTCCCTCCCTCTTTACACATAACAAAAAAAAACGTTTTTAAATTAGACAAACAGCAATACCTGGGAAATATCCTGGCTTGTGCAATCATCTCCAGAACGGACGTCTTCCCAGAGCTCTGGTCCCCAACCACAACAACCTGACATAAACAAACAAGGTAAAAAGGAAATATCAACCTCCTATTCTTACAACATGACAAAACACAAACTGGATAAAAAGGAAATATCAACCTTCTATTTTTACAACCTGAAAAAAAAACAAGGTAAAAAGGAAATATCAACCTCCTATTCTTACAACCTGACAAATCACAAACAGGATAAAAAGGAAATATCAACCTTCTATCTTACAACTTGACCCAAACAAACAGGATAAAAAGGAAATATCAACCTCCTATTCTTACAACCTGACAAATCACAAACAGGATAAAAAGGAAATATCAACCTTCTATCAGGATAAAAAGGAAATATCAACCTTCTATCAGCATAAAAAGGAAATATCAACCTTCTATTTTACAACTTGACCCAAACAAACAGGATAAAAAGGAAATATGAACCTCCTATTCTTACAACCTGACCAATCACAAACAGGATAAAAAGGAAATATCAACCTTCTCGTTTTACAACCTGACACAAACAACAGAGTAAAAAGGAAATTTCAATCTTCTATTCTTACAATAAGTTCTAAACATCTTTCGCATGTGGTGTCATTGTCACCTAATGTGCCAGGATCGGGACAATAAAGATGTATCATACCTTATCTTATCTTATCTTATCTAAATGTGGCTCCACGGAAGGGACCCTGACTGTGCATTGTAGATCAAATAAGCTCAAAATGGACTGCTCAAGTTTAATTTCACCACAGACAGAGCACAGCTACAGGGATCATGGATGTTACTTTCTTTTTAATAATCTCCCCCCCAAAGCACGCCAAATGCACAAGATTAGATAACTGGATGTGTGTGTGGGTGTGTGGGTGTGTGGGTGTGTGGGTGTGTGTGTGTGTGTGGGGGGGGGGGGGGGGGAGTTATTCCATCCCTCAAAATTTGTGGCAGGCATACAAAACTTCTGGCTAGGGACACTTTGTGGGGGTGGAGGTGTGGGGGAACTTTATTTTGTATTTAGATTACTTTTCATTAATTTCCAGAGGCTTACTTGTGCCTAAATCTACATTTCTTTTTTAAAAACACCACAAATTTTATACCTGATCCTCTTAGAGGATCCCAAACCACAAAACTTTACCAGTCATGCCCGGCTGAAAACTTCTTCAGTCTCAGGCACAAGCCAAATAAACAAAGTGTAGTAGATTATTGCTTGGTAAAATTTAGGGTATATGCCACAGGCAAACAGTTTTTTAAAAAGTCCAAAAAGTTTCTCTTAAATTACACGTAGTACCTCAGCATTTCGTACCCTCATAACTATTTTGTCCAAAGTAAGATGGACTTGAGTAAACTTTGGACAAAATAGTTCTGAGACGACGATTTGTCAATCAACAAGTTTTCACGCACTCACTTCAGGAGAAGTTAAATTCCATTAAGTGATTAATTGTAAATGCTTTATACCCTCGTCAGCAAATTTTTGATAATTCAGAAGGCGGGCTGCTTCAACTCTGACCAATAGGGCAACCCATGCAAAGTGCGGTAGTGCATCCCAGCAGAAAGATAGAGGTACTCTCGGCAAAACCCAATACTTTTTCCAAGCAGGATTTAAACTTATGTCTCAAAGAAAACGAATACAATTAACCATTTCACCACAAACTCCAGTTGGATCATCTACAGATTTTTGGAAATCAAGAAATCCTTGGAGAAGAGGGACCCCGATTCTTACCCTAGGCAGGTTGTCTTGAGTGTTGTAGCTGGAGTCAAACTGGTTCAGCTCATCAAGGACCTCAGAGTACATGTCTATAAGTGACCTCTATGGAGAGAAAAGAAAGAACAAATTAATGTAGAGTCTTTTAGACAAAATACAGTTCATCTAAAAACAGCTTAAACCAAAAGAAATAGAATCCCTGGGGGTTTTTTATTTGTGAAGCGTGCTGACAAAATGAATAACTTCTCAGATTCGAACCTTATGGAAGTAGAGATACATCACATTTAACAGTGAAGTTTTTACAGTTTATAAGTATGAAATAATAAAAGGCATGTTATATTTCAAGAATATGGCATTAATAGAAAATCTAATAATTTGACCCTAGTGTTGATTTTTGTCCAATATCTCCATTTGTGGATTGCGAGAAACTCATTTTGTCAGCACGCCTCACATTTGCTATTTGAGCAATCACTCTGAATTAAAAACACGGCTAAACTGAAGAAAATCAAGTGGTCCCGTAAATTTTGGTATATAAGGGGACTCCATTTTTATTTTCCTATCATTATGCTATACAATGACACACAGCGGAAGAAGATTCCACACTCCAACAGGCGGGATACTGTATCCCAAAGGAAAAGAAAATTACCAGTTTCTTCCAACTGGCTTGCTGCAAAGGAGGAAGTAGCAATACCCATTGATGAAAATATGTAAATGAGTGGTATAGCCCATATATCAGCCTGCTGTTATTATGAGGCCAATGAAGAGAAAAAAGAAAGAGACTTCAAGGACTGTTGAAGGTTTCCTTTAAAAGGGTAGACATGAGGGTAAACTCTAATACTTAAATCATGCTCTTTTGACTTTTTTATCAGTAGTCTAAAGTAAATTCATATAGTTTTTACAGCCTCTCAGATACAGTTCAAATGCAGTTCAGAACATTATGTCATTGTTCTAAGCAGAAAGCAGAGGTATATTCAATATATGATTTTGCAACATGTTTTAAGACTCTTCGTGATGCACAAATTTTGCTATGTATGTGTTATAAATACAAAGAATATACATATAATTTAAAAATTCAGGGACCTGAAAATATGTTAAATATGTACAAATTTCACCATGAGTGTGTTCACCATGTACATGTTTCACTACGTGCGTGTTCACTATGTGCATGTTTCACTATGTGTGTCTTCACTACGTGCATGTTCGCTATACTATGTGCATGTTTGCGTGTTCATTATTTGCGTGTTCACTATGTGTATGTTCGCAGCCTACGTACTAGACTGTAGTCACAAATATTTCTACCTTCATGTGCCTGGTCTTGACCCCTGACCTCTGTTCTTTCAGCAGCAGTTGCTTCCTCAGCTCCCTGTTGTCCTTCTCTAGTCTCTCTATCTCCTTCTGGTACCTCAGCTGGGGATAAAATAAAGGCCTTTGATTAAGAGAAATAGAGTCATCATAATAACAATAATTACGAGAACAATGATAAGACTAACAATAATAACAGCAATAATGATGATAAACAAAAAATGAACTAGGAATAATAATAATCATAATAATAATAATAACAACAATGTTTTAGAAAGTGTACAATATATCGTGTCCATTACCTGTATCAATAAAATATTGTGTATTATGTAAAGATTTGATAAATATAATGTTTGCTTTTAAATATTGATTATGCATTTGTAAGCCAAATTTTCCCAAAGGATCAATAAAATTTACAATCACCATGGTATTTAAAATGAGATTCGAAAATGAAACACAAAAAATTACAAAACAACTATAAAAGATTACCTGTATCTCCATGACTTCCTCTTGAATCTTCTGTCTAGCAACCTGTGAGACAAACAACAAAAGCAAAGGAATAAACGATTAATTTCATTATTAGTGTTTTACGCCCACATCAACTCGACTTAATTAACCCTATCCGTACGCCGTGGGGTCATTTTGTATCCCCAGGGTTGTATTCTTTACATTTTAGAATATTTCTAATACAAAGATTTCTTTGAAACTTTCAGTATTTCTCAAAAATTCATTTTGACAGACTGCTATACAAATCATACGAATCGGATAAACGAGTAAATTTCCTCCTTGGAAAGTGGTGGCACAGAGTTCCCAACGTCGTATGGATACGATAGTAAAACACGACGTACGGATAGGGTGAAGAGGCCAACTGCTTCGACCCTATCAGTCGGGGCCCATTTGGGCTGTTGTGGAATGCAACATCTCAGCTGACTGACACAAATAAGAGACACAAAATTCCCTTAGTGGGAACAAAGCACACAGTCTGCATGTAACAGCAAAGGGTCAAACAATTACATGACAGACACCCGCAGGGCAGGTACGAATAACATGAAAAACCAAACTTGCAAGCATTTCTTCTAGAAACCTGATAGAAGCAGATCCATACTCTTTACCATATTGACAGCTGAAGGAAAAAGTCACACTAAAAGAATAATGTTCTTTAGTTTTAGTACGACTTTTACAGCACTTGCTTTGCTACACAAACAGGTCGTATAAAAATACATTCCAAAGAGTAAAGGTGTTACTAGAGAGCAACATATAAAGAAAAGGAGGGGAGATAATGATGATGAACGTCTGATTAGAAAGAAGGAGCAAACTACAACAAGAGCATCCGTCAACTCAACCATCCACAAATGAGATGTTCCTGTCGTAAAATTACTGCTTTTTAATTTGTTCCATGTGTACTTCACTCTCAAAAATAAATATGATCAACAAATTTATTTTTTTTAATGTCATATGTCTGAGAAAAAAGACAGTTTTGAAGGAGACAAAATACAGTCGTGAAAATTAACAATGCCCAGCATGCCCATGAAATTCCAACCTCAACGCCAAAAATAGGATCGGACAATCCCACACAAAAGTGGAAACAAAAACTTACATGTGCCATGAAATTCATTTCTAACAAATGAAACAGTCAATCATACTGACAGTCATCAATGAGAAACGTACAACAATGACAACAGCATATTTTCCAAAGAGGTACAAATGAATTCATCACACAACTGGACAGGATAGAAAAAGAAAAAGGTGAGAAGAGTTTTTCTTACTTTTTCACAACAAAACAATTCAATGCCCACAGCAATATTCTAACTTTATATACTTTATAGGCTACTTAAAGGCAACTACAGATAAAAGTACAGAAACTAGACCAAAAAAAAACGAAAATTAGATTAGTAATTTTGAATAACAAACAGGACAACCAAACTCAAAAACTGTTCTCCTTCTCGTACCTCAGGATTTTCAGCATACTTCGAGCCCGGAGACTTGCGATGTGGAGGGATGTACAGTAAGGGGATATATACTGTAAATACCGCTTATGACAAAAAAAACCCAAATATTTACACTATTAAAAAAAAGAAAGCTGCACAATGCCATAGTGGCCCTCCCTGTCAAAAAGTATCCAATCAAGAGCACAAGATTTCAACAAAATATAGAATCACTAAAAAAAAAAAAAAGAAAGAAAAAAGAAAAACAATGTAAGTGAACAAACACCACATTCTACACTTTTGGAGCAACACTAAAATGTACAAAAACCTGAACGTATACTGTGATATTCTTGGAAATTAACTCCATACTGTGATATTCTTGGAAATTAACTCCATACTGTGATATTCTTGGTAAGTAACTCCTGTGTTATTCTTGGTAATTAACTCCATACTGTGATATTCTTGGAAATTAACTCCATACTGTGATATTCTTGGTAATTAACTCCATACTGTGATATTCTTGGTAATTAACTCCATACTGTGATATTCTTGGAAATTAACTCTACGCCCAGATCATCATACTCCATGTTGTGTCCGTCTACCCCTTTCCGTCATGACAACACAGAGCATGTCGTTTTCACTCCCCCCTAAAAAAAGTACACATTTTCATCCAGCCCTCCAAATCCATGCTTATAATTTTGGTTGAGTACAAATATAATTCTGGCTGCTCAGGAAAAGCCACGAAAATAATACTGGCTGATATGAGTTAAACAACGAGTGGAAAAAAAGAAAAAGAAAAGTTTTACAAAGAATTCACCTTGTACTCAAGACAAAGAAAAAAAACAGGTCATATAATTATTAATTTTAAATGAACCTGTTCTAGTACATATTTATTCCACATACCAAGGTCATAACATAAACAGTACATAATTTACTTCTTACAAGTTCACAACAATATAGACCAAACCCTTTTACAGCTTAGCGATAAGGCTATTGATGAGAAATACACAACCAGTGGTCAAGGGAACAATGTGTAGTTTTATGAAAATTCAAAGAAATAAACACAGCCTAAGATAATAAAGATGAAAACTCAAAACAAAACAAAAAAACGTTACATTCAAAATTCAAAAAAATGAGAGGCGTGCTGACAAAATGAATTACTTCTCTCGCAATTAACAATAGGAAATATTGGCCGAAAATCAACTTCAGGGTCAAATTTTTAGATTTTCCATTGATGCCATATTATTCTGTAAGTATAGCATGCCTTTTATTATTTCATACTTATAAATAGTAAAAACTTCACCTATAAACGTTATGTATCTATTTCCAAAGCGCTCGAATCCGAGAAGCAACTCATTTTGTCAGCTCATTTCCCAATTGGAAATTTGAGGAACAAATCAATTCCATCTTCAATGTCTAGTACCATAGACGAAAAAACATAAGAACAACATGTTTATAAATTTCAACTTGACAGCTAAAGGTTCAAGTTTCCTCATTAAGTATAAGAAAAGAATGGTCTTGTGTACTATTTCCCTTACCTTTAATGTGGATGCTATTAACACTTGTGAAAAATGTGAGGAACACTCAAGAAAGTTACAATTTCAAAAATGGCAAAGATGCAAATCTATAAAAGTATATGAAAGACCAAAACTAACTTTTTTTTTCTTCAAACATTGCAAACTTTGTATCAAAAACACCATTTACTCACTCATATTGGGAACATTTATAAAATAAAGAATGAACAAGACTAACAAAATATTTTCCTTTGTACAGACCTCAGGTGTCTCATCAAAGTAGAGGCTTTTGTAGTCCTGCAAGATATTACAGACATTGGCGAGTCTAGGCACATCATACTATTAACAAGTGTAAAGAAAAGAACTCTCATATTCTTATATTTGAACTTATTATACAGTCAATGAACGCTCCTATCGCCTTTGCCTCTTGGTTTTCACAGAGAGCAGCATCCTCCTAACTAGACACAAAGAGGCTATTTCAAAAACAGAATACACAGGTATCCACCATGAGCATCTGAGAGTCATAATCTTGTAAATATTAAACTCATAGCGAAAGGAAATGAAAAGAAATGCAGCAGCAAAAATCCTCAAACACTAAAATGTTGCCAAATACAATATAATTTGGTTTTATTTTTAAAATGGCCAGTTCTCTTGTTGAGAATTTTCTTATCATTCAAAAATTAATGCCAACAAAGAAAAGCGACTACTGTTTGAATTGACATCGTAATGCATCCTACAACTACAACACAAGGGGTTAACTCAATATACGACAATATCACTATATCAATATTGCACAATGTGTAAAGACTTCATATAATCAATTATGCCTGACCAGCATCTGTCATGTTAAGGTTTGGATCTTCAACAGTGCAAGCAAAAGACATGAATTCCACTGCAGGAGGTGCCTTTCTAAGCCAGGATTACCCGGACAGGCAGGAACAAAGCAGACTCCTTTCTAACTAATCTAGATTTTGTAAATGGAGGCATAAAACATCAATACTTGAAATACCATTACAAGGATATGGAATCAATTAAGCCTGACCAGAGTATGTGGTGTCCCAGTAAGATATTGCATGCAGAACACATGCGTTCAATTCTCAATAGGGGAAACTTTTTTTTATCAACCAAACGCTTTATAAAGTTTTAGGAGTCACTTTTTTCATAGAAATGTAATTTGTTAGCATTATGAGACCAAAGTACCCAATGGTTGATTGTGGGAAGGGAAATTATAGATAAGTGCAATTATATGAATTTTACATCAATTGCAACACAGCAAAGTTATATGAAAGGACCCTGTAAAACCATGAATACATAAAAAAAATAAACTATAAACAAAGAATGAAAGTATGAAAATTTTTGAAAACTTTGACCATTTTTTTTTTCTATTTCAAGGCATCTCCATCTCACCTTGGGACTGGCATGCATTTCTAAACTTGGGTGTAGACGGGACTTGACCTCAAAAATTACAAATGAATTCATTAAGAATACAATATCAATGTCTCCAACACACTCTCAAGCTTTCCCATCAACAAGTACAACCAACATAAGACAAAGTCGTACCAAATATTGTTATCAAAACTCAGAAATATGAAAGTGAACATTCTGGAAAATTAGATAATTCTTCAGAGTGCTAAGAACAAAGAAGGACTTAACAAACTACACAAGTTATCTTTCACAACAGAGTGCTTACAAACAGAAATGTCCATTCTCCCCCTGATATTCCTTCATTTTAAAAATCTCAATAAAATTACCAAACAATAATCCTGATCATTCAATTCAAGCACATTCAGAGCCGTCGGCAGTTAGCAGGTGCTCTGGTGTGGTTTCCTCCTTCTTTCTTATCAAACATTTATCATTCCTATCCCTCTTCCTTCTTTTCTTTGAATGTTACTCTTTAGTAACACCTCTAATCTCCAGCACTTCTATAACCTATTTGTGTTGCAATTGTCTTAAAACTTGTACCAAAACAAGACAAAAATATCAAGAGCTTACAAAAGCTTGTGCATGATGTGTAATAACAGTGAACTGGTTGTGGGAATTGGATCTTACTCATTTGGAGAAGAGAGTACATTTTAATGAAATTATCAGATTGAAACTGAAGTCAAAAGCCCACAGACTACAATTAATAATAATGATAAAAACTAGTGTATGTCCAAAAGCGAAAGTGCTCTTGGCAAGTAATTTGAAATACCATGCTACAACTATTAATGGAACAGATTCCAGGCCAAAATAAATTACAGACAATCATCAAGTTATGAAGAAAAAGTTACGACTTACAAACAAACTGAATCAAGATTCATCTACAGCATCATGGAACATAAAAATAACATGAAAGCGAACTGCCGGCTAATTCCTACAATGATAATTTCCCTAATCAGAACTACTCAAAGACATCACAAAACACTATCAAATACCAATTTAAAAAACTGTCATTCTACAATCAGTGATATTTTATTAACAAATGAAAATATGAAAACTACAATACCAAAAAAGTTAATTGATCACATACTTTTTTAAACAGCCTTTTTAGGAAACAAAGAACACATTGCAAAGTAATGAATGAAACATTTCACTATTCTATTAGAAACACACTTTCCTTTCCAAATAATGAGGGCATAGTAACCAGAACAAAAAGGAATAGATCTAGTATTTGAAAAAAAAAACAACAGAAAAAAACCAAATCCTTACTGGTCATTAACACAATCTGTTCTCAAGTACAAATAAACAAGAATGCATACAGAAAGACACAAGATAGAAGTTTGTCCTTGCAAATTTGCAAAAATTCAACAGCACAAAGTCAACTTTCAATACCCAAATAAACTTTACAATAAAACTTCCACACAACATATGTGGGCTCAACGTGGAAATAACAGATGAATCGGGAACCTCAAAGTAACAAAACTACCTTTAAAGGCGAGATTATTTCTTCCATCTCCTCTCTGAATGTGCTGTTAGGCCTTCCAGCAGCAAGCTTGACAACAAACATGATAACATTTAAAAACAAAACAAAATACAGAGGAACCTGCTCTAATGGACATCTGGTCCAGAACAAGAACCTGAACAAACAACCACTTCCCATCCCCCAATGCATTTTCTAACATTATAATGATACGGTCCAAGACGTCCTCTTGCCTAAGACAACCACTTTTCTCCTTGACAATGGGTGGTTGTCTTCTATAATTTCGACTGTAGTTCTGCATAATGCCATGAGTAAATATTTTCTAACGAAACCATCATTCATCTCATTTTATAAAACCAACGTCAAAAGACTCAGTATTGAAACGAATCTCAAGTAAGCCTTCAGGTCACATCAAATGTCAGTGTTGTAGAACTGTTGAGACTTTGTCACATGACTGCAAACAAATGAACTTGGGCAGCAGGACCCAAGCATATAATACGACAACTGTCAATCACCTCCACAAAACAAGACATAGGGCATAAATATTTCAATGCAGAACAGCATTAAAACCTATGTCACTTTTTCAGAAAGCCACAGGGGCTTAGAGGCCCAGCACTTATTTTAGAAACGGAACAAATACACAACACCTTTACAAGTTAAGTTCTATAATAATAACAAGACCTCAACACCTCATACAAAATAACATTTATAATTCTTATCAAGGATAACATGCGGTAGAAAAGTACAAATTGGACATAGCTTTTCAACAAAAAATGTGTCAGTGCCAATCATTATTAGACTTAAGTTGCACTGGGATATCCCAAGCAACAAGGTCCGAAGAAAAAAATTGATAGATGCAGCATTTCTTATTTTTCTTCTCTTGAAAGTTTCATGTTTTTATTTCATAATTAAATATGATATACAAATAAACAACTTTACTCCACATATTTTGAAAAATCCCTGAGGTGGGGGTGGTTTGATGCAACACACCGCACAACTTCAGAGCCTGTGCTCTCATTTTCATGTTTCTACACTTTGCAGCGTTAAAGTTCCATATTTTAAAATAATTATTGCCCAACTGACTTCACTTTTCATTAAAATTGTGGGGGACTGGAGACAGTTTTTGACAATAACATAAACTCAGTTCGTGAGATTTCCGATTAATGTCTCATTTTGATTGGCATTAACACAAATAACAATGACATTACTGGCACAATTAGAGAATTTACACACAAAAAGCAATTTGCCCTCTTGGGCAGAACAAATTCATCAGAATGTGGGTGGCAGCCAGCAATTTGCCAACCTCTGACTTTCATTTACATAAGGGGGAAGGAGCACGGAAAGACAAAAAAAGGAAAGCTTCAGAATTCTGTTTGACTGACTTTAATATTTTACACCCTTGCAACAAAATTTTAATTATTTAGAAAGTGGGAGAATTCTATTTCTACACATATATGGGCTCTACTTGTAAATACAAGTATTACTCAGGCATGCAGAGCTACACTCTAGTCATATTCTTACAAATAAAAATACAACAAAAAAAGCGAAGTTGAAAATATAGTGGTGCCTTTCAAAAGCAAAGTTTATCTTCAGTTATTACCACCATAGTTATTCCTTCACAGACTCAAAACATAATGTTTTGAAAATTTGACATCCAAAATACATAATTTCAACTTTTTACTCATCATACTGGAGAAAGTTATTTTTTCAACCTCGCTTTAATCCGTTTGAGATAAATAATAAAAATCACCCTTGAGGGTGCTTTCTGGAATGCAATTAATAATTATCTGCCAATTTGATAATGACAGAAGTTTGTTCACATGAGAATCATAAAAATGAAACGCTCTAAACAAAAATCATACTGCCCTACACATAACTACAAAAAAAACAACCTTACAGAAACATGAACAAAGAAACTCTGGCATGGGCACGCAAAAAGAACTGCTGTGAAGGAGCTCCACAAAATTACAAACTTCAAATATGTAGACGAGGCCATTTTCCTTTTTATAAATATATGTGAGTCAGCGTGGTGAAATCAGGCGCTCGTCAAAATATCGGAATCAGAGAAACAGGCATTTTTCCGCCAGTGGGAAAAATTTTTTTAATTTCAATTTTTTGGTTTAATCTCTTGTATGTCCACATAAAAACACATTTCCATGTGAATGTTATTGAAAAACACTGATTAAAGGCACAAAATGTGTCATTTTTCAGTTTTCAAAGACTCTTTAGCTATTGGAGTTATAAAACTTTTGCGGCCATTTTTGCGCTAATTTCAACACTGAAAAATGACGAATTCCCCTCCTTCAATAGCAAATATCTTGAGTTCTATTCAAGATAAATGGATGTTTATTTCACTGAAAGCAAAGAAAATTAAATCAGCTTTATGATACCACTAACTTCACATGCCCCAAAATTGACGAGCGCATGATTCCACTGTGTCGAGACACATACAGAGCAAAAAGGAAAGAAAAAAGGTAGATGTGTGTGGGGGGAAGGCAAGGTACAATAAGGGCGAGGTGGG